TTTTCTGACCGATGAGCTTTGTAAAAATCGACATTAAGAAACAATAATGTACAGTATGTGGAAAATAATGTTTTTTTTACTTTAAACCACATAAACACATTTCATTACACCAAATACACAAAATAATGTTCTTTTTAGCAACATCATATGACCCCTTTAATTTGACACTCTGTTTGTTCCAAACAGTTCATACTTTGATGTTTGATGTTAGCATGTTGCTAAGCTAATTATGTGCCCTAGTTCTGCCGAACTTTAAATTAAATTAACGAGGATGGGTGGAAAGGATCAATACTTTTGATACTGATGTTATATCCTACCTGGTCTCATGGCATAAACGTACCTGGGGGCACTTTTTAGCGAGACGCGAAATACGTACCAATAAGTACATATCACTGCAGTTTCCAAAATAAATGAACACTAGAGGCACTAAAACTCTGACACCTTTTATTCCTTTTCACACATATTTACAGAGTTTCGATTAATGAAGTGTAATTTTCGCACAATTACTTGAAGGATATCATGTTATGACTTCAAAACAATATTTATATGCTGGGAGATGGGTTTTCATCGACGGTAGGTTTGTTCAGTAGCTCACGGAGTACGGAGATGTACTTGAGAGGCGAGGAGCTCCGGTTCGAATCCCGTGTAACCATGGTTCGACAAAACAGTTCAAATCTGCATATAAGGAAGTTAAAATGGCACGGTTGCAGAGTCACTTATCAACAGCTGTTTAAAGGGTACCATCAAAATAATCAAACTGATATTACAATAAAAATAGTTCAAAGCAAATGTGTCATATTACACATTCATCTGATCTGATATCTGATCTTATGGCTGTTTGAGAGAAAAATATTTGTATTTATTATTATTATTACTATTATTAGAGGAAGTTGAAATGGCACGGTTGCATCATCAAATGCATTTTTATATCAGTTTTGCATTTGTTAACACTATCGGGTAGGTTTAGGGTTGGGTTTGGTGTAGGGCATATTAAATTGTATTTGTAAACAATTATTATAATGGGTTTATGCAATGATTATTTTTATTAAAACGTAAAAGTTATAATATTGATCCTGTTCTCTAATTGTTGTTGAAGAATGATAAACAAAAACAGCAATCTAATATTTTTTCATTTTAAAAATTATGACTTTCAATAATAAGTAGTTATAATTACTCAAAGAAAAAGAAATCTACTTAATAGAAATTTTGAAAGCGGTGACAGTACTTGATAAAGATGCCATTAAGCTAAAATTATTAAAAATATACTTCCTTTATTTTGCTACAACATTAATCAGAAGTCCAGATTTAAAAAACAAACTAACAAAAAACATAATTTAACAATTTATGTGTGGAGACGTTTATGGATTGCAAATCTGATCAGCTGAAAATGCCCCAAACACCTTTAAAACCAGCTTAAATTAAGTTTAGGCTAGCAATCATCTTATGCTCATTTAAGATATGTATGTGTGTGTGTGTGTGTGTGTGTTGTTGTTGCTGTTGTTGTTTTTTGTTTGCTTGCTTGTTTGTTTTTTCCCACTCAAACATCTTAAACTCAGCTGTAAATAAAGTACAGTACAGGAGAGAAACAGGAAAGACAGAAAGAGCTTAAGTATTACAATGCACATTAGGCTTGACAGTACAGTAAATTACTAAGTGGGGAGGATTCAAGTAATTCCATTAAAATATCAGTATGGTACCTGGCCTGTGAAAATCATTTGGTAACACTTTCTATGAAGCCCGTATTTCTAATAAATTATAAGGGTATTCTTAAGGCATTATAATGAATGCATAATGCATTATAAAAAAACCTTATAATATGTTGTATCATCTCATGAATATTCATAAGAACAGTTTTAATATATTATAATATTTACTTATTTGTGGTTATAGCTTTTAAGAGTATGATTATTTATAACACACAATGAACACCATATTAAATCTACTTCATTTACAGAATAACAGACTGTATCATATCTTTACATTGTTTATTTAAGATCTGCACAATATATTCATTATAATGCCTTAAGAATACCCTTATAATGTATTATATATACGGGCTTCATAGAAAGTGTTACCAATCATTTTTATATATACATCATGTTCTACTTTCAATTTATCTTTTCATTATTTTATGATATATTTTTTCATTTCCCTTATATTTGCTTTTCATTTTATTTGCTGTGGGTTCCTTTTAGTGCATGACAGTGATTGAACAAATATCAATTAGAATGTATAATTTTCTGCCAACTTCTGGATATTATTTGATTCTGTATTTCAGGATTTCTCAACTGGCATATTCTTTCAGAGAAAGCGTTCTGTCCAGCTGTCATGTGTCCCACATAGTGACATTAATCTGAAAGGCACTAAATAATATCCTCTCTAACTAGCAAGAATAGCCAATATTGCATGTCTAATGAGTTCAGAGCAGCAGGTTTCACACTCTCACTCTTTTTTCGCCATCTCACTATTCCCGTCTCTCTTTCCT